GGCACGTACTGAACACACTTTAATCAGCTCTGTTCTGAAGGCACTGCAGAGCACCTATCAGGACAATACTGACACTCTACAGGTGGGAGATCAACAAGGGCTTCAACTGTGCTGGCCAAGGCAGAAATCTGAGACATTCTGGGGAAGTAAAATTGCCAAGACCTAAGGACTGCCCAGGGGACTGAAGCAGTGGGGAGCAGTTGGAGATAAGACCCCTAGCCTGAAGAACAGAACAAGGGTTCCCCAACAGCGCTGTAGAGGCTGGGCTGTTTCTCCTTCTCTCTGTGGCACTAGAGAAAAAATGAGCCAGTACTATAAAGCACTGATCCTTAATAAAGTGTTAAGTCATGCCTCCTGTCACCTCTTCTCACTCCTGGGCAAGTCCCCCAACTGTCAGCATCCGACCTCAGAGCCTCTGCTCTCAGCTCTCGCTCCACCTTGGCAGCTTCAGGCGCGTCCCCTTTCAAACACATCAGAGCCCTTGTTCCTAGACCAGGACTTCCCGTGTGTGCTTCTCATCACATGGCTCCTTCCCGTACCTCCCACACTAGCCATCCCACAAGGAAGCTCAAGAAAAGCAGGGGTCTCTGTCACCTTTTGCAACTTTATCTTTAATTCCTAAAACATTTACAGCCTCAGCGGGGAGGCTAAAGCATGCGGTTAACTAATATGGATCATACTGCGGTGGGGTAGGGTACCAGGAAGACTTTCAGGTAGAACCTTCTAGTATACAGTCAGGACTGAGGGGGGTGGTCACAGGTAAGCAAGAATGGGCAGGATTTGGGACCCATGGAAAAGAGGCGAGTCATCTCAGAAAGAGATACAGGAAAAGATGGAAGCAGCAGAGTGTATCCCAGAGAGCCAGACAGAACAATCCCTGGTCTGTAGACTACCAGCCCATAAATCTCAAAAAGGCTTTAAGCCTCTCTGCGCCTCCATTTCCTCTACTCCAAAGTGAGCTCTACAGCAGCTGCCGGGGAGGACTACAGTGGTATTTAGAGGAGCTAACGTGTCCACTGGTGCCGCTGGCACATGGGGACAGCGCACAGAGAGAGCCTGGGGACCCACGCTAACTCCCTTTGCCTTCAGCTTCTAGCTGTTGATACTGCTGCTTTTTTGGTTCTTTATTTCCCCAGGTGTTTTGAACTGGAACATGCCACAGAGAGAAGGAGAAACAGCCCAGTCTTGGAGTCGATCAATTTGAGTCCTGCCTTCAGTTCTGAAGCCCAGACAGGAACTTACACTCTCCTGATGGTTGAAACAGTAATGATAAGACCCGCTGGGTATCTCAAACTTGAGGGGGAACAGTTCTGACTCCTGGGAGAAATGAACATGGCTGGTGGTGTGACAACTAAATACAGGAGCATTCACAAAACCCGACAGTGCCTGCCTGGCACTGGCTAAGAGACAACCAACATGCCCACATGCAAGGTGCATGAAATCAGACTCTTACCACACGTCTATGTAAGAGGCCCAATGTCAGACTTGAGCCATTCATTCCCGTCATTCATAAACATTTTCGGTCACAGTGAATGGAGAAAGAAATCATCGTGTATATATACAATGGAATACTACATAACCACAAAAACAAAACCCTGTCGTTTGCACCAACATGATTGGAACGAAAATATTAACTTGAATGAAACAAGCCAGACACAGTAGGACAAACAACACACGATTTCACTGAATCCTGTAGAACATAGCTGAACACAGGACTCTAGACATGGGGAAAGCATGGAGCTGGGACAGAAAGAATTAAGAGACACGTGAAGGTTAGGAAGGATGTCAGAGGAGAAGAAAAGCGGCCTCGAGAGCAGAAGGGTCACTATGGGCATATATACAGGAATACCACAGTAGACCCACTAATTTATACAATAATATATGCTAATAACCACACAGAGTTTTAGTTTATCTCTTTTTTTTTTTTTTTTTTTTTTTTTTTTTTGGTTTTTCAAGACAGGGTTTCTCTGTGGCTTTGGAACCTGTCTTGGAACTAGCTCTGTAGACCAGTCTGGTCTCGAACTCACAGAGATCTGCCTGCCTCTGCCTCCCAAGTGCTGGGATTAAAGGCGTGCGCCACCATCGCCCGGCTTTAGTTTATCTCTTAAGAGAATAAGTTTCCTCCAACTGTCGCTGTTTTGCTTCTGGTTTGTTCTGTTTGCTGAGGGTCCGGCTCTGAGCTGCTGGGCTGGCTCTTTCCTGCAGCTCAACCACCCCGGTGCCTGGGTCTGTGAGCACTCACCACAGCACAGTCTGTAAAAACAGAGCTTTATAGAAGCACTGGGCTTATCAGCAGATGTATTTAACATGATTAGGTACTGATAACTGATTTTTAGAATGAGTCTTGGGAAATTAGGGAGCCTGGAGGGGTTGTCTGTTTGCATCTGGGTTTTTTCCCCACTGTCCCTGGTGCGGGGATGGTCAGAGTAGAGCGGGCTCTAAACTTTCCCATTTAGCTCTTCATGTTGTTCCTGCACAACACTGAGGTGGAAGTGGCTGGAAGCGCCGCTGGGACAACTGAGTACCAGAAGGTATATGTCAGCGGGAGATCAACAAGCACTTCGAAGCAGACTGCTTTGGCTTGCTTTAAAGGGACTTTTAAAAATTACCTTTTCTTTACTGTAAAACAAGTACATGCTTGCTGTGGATAATTTGGGTAACTAGCTGAGCTAAAATGAGAGCAACCTATCACTACTGAATATATTTCTGTAATCATTCCTTTTTTTTAAGATGCCATCTCCTGAGGAAGTGTGTATGTGGGTAAATTCAAACTGCAAACCACCCTAGATTCATTACATAACTGACTTTTAAAAGTAACAAGGTATCATGACCCACACCTGTAACTGTAGCCCCAAGGATGCCAAGTCAGAAGGATTTTGAATTCAAAACCAGTTTGAGGGGATGGGCTGGGGAGATGGATCCCCTGTCAGTAGTACTTGCTAATCATTCGGAGGAGCTTGGTTCCTATACTGGGCAGCTCACAACCACCTGTAACTATGACCCATCCTGTTTTGGTCTCCATGGGTCTCTGAACACATCTGTATAGACACATACATTCACATGAACAAATAATCTGTTTGAAAATCAGCCTGAGCTATGTAGTAAGACCCTGTCTCAAACATAAACACTAATTATATTGATCATTCACTCAAGCAAACTAAGCATGTGTTGGACTAAAAAACGTGCATAAAATTAGAGAAAGAAGCATATTTAAACACAAAATCATTTCAGGGGCTAGCGTTCAGTTGAGAACACTTGCCTGGCATGTGTAAGGCTTTGCACTCAGACCGCCAGCACCACACCAAAACCAAACCAAAAAAAAAAAAACGAAATTAACACTACTAAAAATAGGTGAGAGGATAGAGATAAAAAACAGAGGGCGCAGGGCTGGAGAGATGGCTCAGAGGTTAAAGAGCACTGACTGCTCTTCTAGAGGTCCTGAGTTCAATTCCCAGCAACCACATGGTGACTCACAACCATCTGTAATGAGATCTGGCGCCCTCTTCTGGCCTGCGGGCACAATGGAGGCAGAATGTTGTATACATAATAAATAAATAAATCTTAAAAAAAAAAAAAAAAAGAACAGACGGTGCAGAGAGAAGTCTCTGGGCTCAGGAGGGTCAGGAAAATCCTAGGGAATGGCCCAGTAACAATTCGCAGCCTCCAGCACAGAGGTGTTCTGCAAGGAAGGGAACACAATGACTGACAGAAGGTGGAACAGGAAGGCTCCACAGGGAAAGCTGCAAAGCTACTTGGAGGAGGGGCAAACATCCAGCAGGGTAAATCACAGCAGACTGAGGGAGACATGCAATGACAGTTCACTGTAGACCTGAAGCAAGGGGCTGGCATGATTTCAGGGACAGCCAGGGCAGAGAAGAAAACCACAGACCTGAGAATGCCCGTAAGCTGAAGACAAGGTCTTAGAAATGAGAGTGACCTAGAAATCAGACTCCAGGTGGACAAATGCCTTCTACCCTCACTTCCTTGATTGTCAAGGTTACTACGGACAAGCCAGCACTACCAATGGCTATTCCCGTATTTCAAATATATGTTCAAATAGGAAAAAATAGGTGAAATTTCACCATATTTTGCTCGTCTAGCACTCTTCTCTTCTTATTTGGAAACAAATTCAGTTTTTCTTTTGGGACATCATCCGTCTTATCCCTCCCCCCACTCACCCGTGAGGCTTGAGTGAGAAGGCCCCACTGAACCCTAGTCCAGAGAGGCACATCAATAGCACACACAGTGAGCCTAATCACGCTAACCCAGTCGCTGCCTGAGGAATCTGGGGGATCCATAAGGAAAGAGCCCACCAGCCTCTTCTACGACCTCAGATGCTGAAGACCACATATCCCTTGAGCTGTCCAAGTCCTCCCAGGCTATCAGGTTAGAGCCAACTCAGCATGAACACACACATGGGACTGTCAAAGCCAGAACCCCAGGAAAAGAGTGGTCAGGGACAGCTTTTGAGGGGATGGGCACACCAACATTAAGTGATGCCAATAAATCCCCTTTCCCATTCCAATTTGTGTGATTTTGAATTTTTTTAGTCATATATAATGGAAGAGTACAGAATTCAGAGTTGAAGAAGCAGAATCCCAATACTGCTATCTGATGGGCTAGGCAGGCAGGGCAGCACACTCTCAAGGTGCAGCTTCACACAGAGGGCTAAAGCTTCACAGAGGAGCCAAGGCCTTAACGAACTCTTAAAGGGTCAGCCACCCAGCAACAGGAGGAGAAGACAAAATTATATTCTATGCAGGACAAAAACAAATGAAAACAAACAAAAGCCAGCGTGAGCAGAGAGGTGCTAAGGTAGGAAGGGCCATGGATGCTGGGAGGTGACAATGGTGTGCTGTGCCTAGACAGAGTCCGCAGAGACAGCAGGCCATGAGGGAAGGCATTGCCCTGCACCCTCTGCACAGCCTGGGATCAGGCCCAGCAACTCCACTGACCAAATACGGAGCCTACAGACTGATCAAAGTATTAAAACGTCTTACCTGCTGATAGAACTCATCATCTTTGGGGGTCAGATAAGGAAGCCAAGTGTCTTCAAGCTCCTCAAGAAGCCTCAGTTTCTGGTTAAAAATAAGAATTACATGTTAGTGAGTATAAAATGACTTCAAATATAGACCAATATATTATTTTCCAATAAAACACACACAAAAATCTTAATGATTTTGAATGTGTAAACTTTTAAAGATATATATTAAGGGCCAACTATAAAATAGACCAACCGAGGCATACGCATTTTAAATTGTAAGATGTATAAAGCATTCTTTCAAAACTAATTCTGCTCCCTGTCACACTTTATGAGACAGTTCCAGTCACTCCTCTCGCATCTTTACCACCGGGGTCTTTCTCATGACATAGGTGACCTACGAATCAGTCAATACAGTCTCCCACAATGAATCTTGCTGCTCATACAACCTGAGTCTGTTAAGCTGTCTGTGATACCAACCCTGGATGCCGGGGGAGCTGCGATGCTCACTCCTCCTGTAAACCCTTATCTGGTTGTGCCCACTTGCAGTAGCACTCCTTTTTAGATTTTATTTTATGTATGTAAGTGTTCTGCCTGCATGTATGTACATGCACCACATGCATGCCCGGTGCCTGTAAAGGTCAGAAGAAGGTGTCTAGCCTCCAGGAACTGCAGTTGCACATGGCTGTAGGCTGTCATGAGGGTGCTGGGAACTGAAACTGTGTCCTCTGGAAGAACAAGCACTTGTAACTGTGGAACCATCTCTCCAGCCCCAAATAGTGTCTTTTAAAAAGTTATCTCTCATCTCAAACATCAGCACAAATTTATGGTAAGCCTATTTGCTTTTTTATCCAATTTTGAAGCACCTTTTTGTAATTATCCATCCAGCATCGTCTAAGGCTGTTTCAGAAAACTGAGTCTTTGTCAGACAGCACTGACTAACAGGACAGGTAATTGCAACAAGAGATTCTGCAATGCTTCACCTACAGGCATCTACACAGCCCATGTTTGCATGTAGCAATACAATGTGAGTATAACATGCGCACACACACACACACACAAATAGAGAGAGGGGGCGGAGGGAGGTTGGTTCACATCTGGAAGAAAGAATAGCAGAAAGAGCACCGCCAGGGCCACTGTCAGGCAGCAATGAAACACTGCAAGAACAGGAAGGTGTGTCGTTGCTCCGGACCAGTGCAGGCCTCCCCAAAAGAGTACAGCTTGGCACACACAAACTCTGTTTTATTCCCTGCAACTCCATAAGTCACTGGTTTTATACAGCGCATACTCAGCCAGCCAGACATGGCAACCCAGAGTGTTATCCCCTTCCACACCAAGAAAGCAGCCTTCACTCACAGATCTATCATAACCAGAGCAGTCCCGAGCAAACATCCCTTTTTGACCCAAACTTTCTAAATCTTTTGCATTACAATCCAAAATAGATAACACAAAGGGAATAGAAATCTAACTCGTACACTTATAAAAACAAAAGTGTGTTCCATTCGCACACAATACCACTTGTGTAATCAGTCTTCCATTTTGATGGCATTTTCTTACCCATAATGCTGAACGACTTCCTAATTAAGGTGTGATCAGGGCTCATTAGGAAAGACTTAGAAAAGTAGCACAGGACAAATCATTTAATTTACTAATTAGGTAATGCTTTCTCTGCTCTCAGCAGTAGCCTAAAAAGAACTAATGATATTTCCATGAATATACATCTCACACTTATGTACCCTATCACTACCTTAACCAAAACCCTACACTTGGATTTCATTTGAAGCTCAGGGAAGCCTGCATCCCCTGTGATCCTTTTACTGATTCTTAGGACTTTTTATAAACACAAAGCACTACAATATTTATAAATGCCACCAAAAAATTAAACACTGAATAATTCAGAAGGTCCACCTTACAGATGCCACCTTAAAAGTCTCTGCTGAGAGTCTATCATTAAAGCTAATCCATGTATACGGATATATATATTTCCAAGAGAAAATCCATACTCCATCTAAGACAGGCTGAAGAGTAAGAGACCTGCCTCAGAGGCCAACAAGCATCAACAGAGGATGGACCTCTTTGTAATTAATGCTTCAAGTAAATTATTGTGGAAACACATTTCTCAGCTCAGCTGAAGTGCAGACCACCAGACATGTGTAAGGCTGAAGACACCCAAAAGGCTGTACCAAAGGATAAAATTCTTTAAGAACAGCAATGGCTTTCCCCTACAGGGATTCAAAACATTCTGCTTCCATTGTCATTTATGTGTGTGTGTGTATGTGTGTGTGTATGTGTATGTGTGTGTGCACGCACGCGTGTGTGTGCGTGCACATGTACACATGTGCATATGATGTTGTTGTTTGCTTGTATGTCTGACAGCATAGCAGGCCAGCCTGAAACTTGCTATATGTCTAGGCTGGCCTCAAATCCAGGTATCCCCCGGCCTCAGTCACCCAAGTGCTGGAATTAGAGGTATACTTCATTATACACAGCATTCCCTGCTACAGTTTTTAAATTGTATATGATATTTTAAGGTGGTAAAAAATTAATTTTATTAAAATTAATGAATATGCACTGTAAGAAATGCAATGTGTCTTGCAAGGATGAAGCAAATAGGAAAGTGACCTGGTCCTTAAACAAGGTTTGAATGAGTAAGAAGATGCCTCTCAAGAAGTAGGAAGCAGCTAAGCCAAAGGAAGTAAAGGAAATATATTCAGTATTTACGCGAGTTGGCAATCCCAGCCCCATTCTCAACAAAAATGTAGCACTGTATAAAGAAACAGGACAAGTACATTTGGGGACACAAACTTGTAACTTCCAAAATGTATATATGCCTCAGTCAATCTCTCTCGACCTTGGGTTTCTACCTGCAATGCAACTATGAAGAGGTAACACTCAGTCATGTGCATTAGCAAATACTGCAATTTGTGACCTATGCAGATGGCAGGCAGGTGGGACTCAGGGGAGGTGGAGGCTGCTCTAGACAACACAGCATGAGCTTAGGAACCAAACTCGAGTTCCAGGGCAAGTTCCCCAATGGAGATACAATCTGGGCTCAGCTCCCTACAGGGCATAAAGGAAGCAACATAGACAAACAGTAAGAGCAGCGCTTGGCACAGGACAAGCCCTCAATACACTTGGCAACCATGGATTCTTATTTATTTGTGTTGGAAAAGTTGCATTTAATAGTTATAGATGCAAGCAATGGAATCTATATAAATCCAACTAATTGTACTTTAAGTCAACCCTACTTAAGAATTCCAGATACTAATTTGCCTGAACAAAATACAGGAGAAATTCAAAAACACTTTTCATAAAAGCTTATATATGTGTGTGCACATGTACATGTGTCACAGCTTAACTAGCTGTGCTGTAATGGTTACCTGAGGTTTACACATGTGTGTGTGCGTGAATGTGTGTGTTATAGCTTAACTAGCTAGGCTATAATGGTCACTTGAGGTCCATATGTATATGTGCACATGCATATGTGTGTCACAGCTTAACTGGCAATGCTGCAATGGTCACCTAAGGTTTATTTATGTGTGTGCAGCTTAACTAGCTGTCCTGTAATGATAACCTGAGGTTGAGTACAAGGAAACTGAAAAGACTTGGAACACAGGAAGAAAGCAAGGTCCCCGCAAAGCTGTGACGTGACCAGCAACAGGTCACATACCGAGATGACTCTCACCTCCCAAGGACTACACAGTCAGTCTCACCACATGCCACACCTTCCCAAGGCAAGGAAAGTTATGTCTTGTGAAAATCTTTTTAATTTTTGATATAAGGGGATCATATAAAACACAATACTTTTAAATTTTAGTTAAAATTGAACCTACTTTTCAACTTTTAAAACTAAAGCTGTTGCTGAACCCGTGGGACCTCCCTGCTCTAACAGCTCAAGATTTAAAAACAGGCACAAAAGAAGAGCCTTGTGATTCACAACACCAAGAGGAACTTGCAAGGACTCTACTGCAGGATCACTGACCCTCAAAACACGCCACTCTCTTCTTCCTGACTAGGCTCAAGAGCAAGAATCCTCAGTGACTCACTTAATGACGATCAGAAGACTTTAAATGACACCAAGAACAAGATGCAGGCATCGTCCAGTCAACCAGTGAGGTGTTGCATGAAGAGATGGCTAAAGGCAAAGCAAGGGTCATCACAGAAAAAGGAGCAGCCCGAGACCAGCCTGCGGAGCTACGAGGAGACAGCGCGAAGACACATTAGGAGAGTGCCTGGAACTGCAGTGTGCAGAACCGGGAGTCGGGGGAGACTGGGCAGGTGAGGAACAGGATAAAAGTGACAGTATTCTGAAAAGGAGAACTGAGGAGTCTCAGCATTCAAAGTGCAATGGAAAAAGGAGGAGCCTAAATACACAAAAGGGAAAGTACACACAGGAGATGCTGCAGGAAGAGTCAGTAGCACCTCAGACAATGAAAACCACACAAACATTTCAAACAGCCAAAGGAGAGAGAAGATAGAGAAAAGAAAGAATAGTGACCAAGTATTTTCCAAATTTACTAACATCTAAAAGTCCACAAACTCAAGCTGTTTTGAGAACTTTAAGCAAGCACACACAGAGAGCCTTTTTAAAAAGTATTTTATAACCACATTATTTAAGGACAGTGAAATAAAGAATATCCTTAAAAGCAGGAAGAAAAAAAGAAAAAGATATTTATATAGGAAAAATATAAGAATAATACTAACTGTAGAAAGTATGACAGTCAGAAGAGGGTGGAGAAATGTGATATACTTCAACAATAGCAAAACAATAGATGGGCAGGTATATAAAAATAGAAAGCAGTAGATGTAAACAGAAAAAAGATGATGGATGGATGGATGGATGGATGGATGGATGGATGGATGGATGGATGATGGATGGGAGGGAGAGAGAGGATGGAGGGGAGAGGAAGGGGAGGGGAGGGGAGGAGAGAGAAGGGGAGGGGAAGGGGAGGGTCTCTGAGTCAGGTCAAGGAGCTGGAGACAGGACTTGACAGGCNAGGGAAGGGAAGGGAAGGGAAGGGAAGGGAAGGGAAGGGAAGGGAAGGGAAGGGAAGGGAAGGGAAGGGAAAGGAAAGCCGGGGGGTGGTGGCACAAGCC